AACACAATGATGATGTGCTATACCAGAACTGGAGATGTTTGCTCAGCTAGGATGCTGTTTGATGAGATGCCGGCTAAGAACTTGGAATCGTGGAACACTATGGTTGCTGGGTATGCCAAGGTGTCCAATATGCAGGAAGCAGAGAAGCTGTTTTGGGAAATGCCAGACCCTGATATGGTGTCCTGGAATTTAATAATACGAGGATTCACACAGATAGGAGAGGTTGAGCATGCCCGTGGATTTTTTGATAGGATGCCAGAGCGTGCAATCATCTCCTGGAATACAATGATATCAGGTTATGAACAAAATGGGGACTATGATGGTACAATTGAGCTATTTTCAAAGATGCTAGAAGTTGGTGGGACGCCTGACCGGCACACCTTCTCTTCAGTTCTAGCAGCATGTGCGTCGATCCCTATGTTGCCCCTTGGAGTTCAGCTCCACCAACTTATTGAGAAGTCGTTTCTGCCAGATACTGCAACTAGCAATGCCCTTATAACAATGTACTCCAGAGGCGGGGCAATAACTGATGCGGAAGCCATCTTCAATCAGATGCGTACGCAAAAATGTTTAGTGTCTTGGAATGCACTGATTGGAGGTTATGAACACCATGGTCGTGCTACAGAAGCCTTGCAGCTGTTCGAAGAAATGAGGAGAGCCCGGGTTATGCCAACACACATAACTTTCATTTCTCTTTTGAGTGCATGTGGAAATGCTGGCCTTGTCTCTGAAGGATGGAGGGTTTTCCACACCATGGTCCATGAGTATGGCATTGCTGCTAGGATTGAGCACTACTCAGCACTTGTAAATCTCATAGGTCGACATGGTAAGCTTGATGATGCATTGGAGGTAATCAATAGCATGCCAATTGCTCCGGACCGATCTGTGTGGGGATCTTTCCTCGGAGCATGTACGGCGAAGAAGAATGAACCACTGGCTCACATGGCTGCAAAGGCATTATCCAAGATTGATCCCGAGAGTTCTGCTCCATATGTTCTGATTCATAACTTACATGCTCGTGAGGGAAGGTGGGGAAGTGCATCTCTGGCAAGGGAAGAGATGGAACGGCAAGGTGTTCACAAGCATGCCGGGTACAGCTGGATTGATTTGCACGACCAGGTGCATGTCTTCAACGCAGGAGATACCTCACATCCCTTTATCCAGGAGATATATTCAGTCCTAGAATGTTTTGACATGTCATCCAGAGATTGGAGCTAGACGGTACGGTGAGATTGTTGTAGTATTTATATGGAACAAAGAAAAATATTTTGCAGTGTAGAAACAAACACATGTTTTCTGTCTTTGATTCTTGTTGACTTGTACATATCTCATTCATGTACTGTTTGTACCCTACCCAAATCAGCTATTTACAAAGTCTGTTAATTGAGCTCTTATAGCCATATGTTACACTTGTTGATCTGTGTGCAATCTCTAATCAAAATAATCAAAAATTTGTGAGTTGATGCATGAACAGCTAAAGTAGACTATTTAAATGATTTATTTTTTCGACAGTGGGCTTATTTTGCTGGCTTTGTAAGGCGGCAGTTGCACAAGCCAAAAAACATGGGGATAAGCCAGGCAACTCAAGTGAGTTTGTATTACTCCCACTTATCTGGTACACATGTGTTTTGATACTTACTTTTAAGTGTTGTTTCACATCTAATCACGAACCACGTTGTCACATTATCTCTCTCAAAAACACGTGTGCAAGGCCTGGTTGAACAGATCCCACAACAGGTGCATTCAAAGATTGGCACATAAGTTACTCTTCTAGTATCATCATTTTGTTTATGCCTTCTAAATAAGCATATAATGTTGCGTGCTTGATTACCTGTTTATGAATCATCTCTCCTCTGACATAACACTCGCTCCCCAAATTCTAATTTTTTTTTTCAAAAACGGAGGCAAAAGATTTGCCTCATATATTAATTAAGGAGATAATAGAGTTTTACAGATAGCCCTCAACTAAACAGTATTTGACTTTGGTTAAAATCCCATATTGTAGATCGTCACTTGTAATTTCAACATGCTATTCTGAAACAGAGACATGCTTCCGTCGCACCCCACGCCAGCTTTGATCTTTTCTTATCCGCTCGTCTACCACCGCTTTGTCTCCCTCCCATTTCATGTCTCCATCTATCTTCTCTGGTGCTACGGAAGGACAGAGCGCTCACCTCGGTTGGGCGAGTAGTAACCGGAGGCGAGGACCGGGTGCTTGACTCGTTCAATGGTGGGGATGATGGATGTGTTTTCTTCTCACCTGCTTGAGGTCGCCATGGCCAGCTGCGATGATTGGGCACCAAGATTCAGTCAATTACGCAGAGTACGGAGGTGATGACTGCACATCCGACTCGCTCGAGGATGCCATGCCTAGAAGCGAGGCCTGGGCGCTCAACTTAGTTGAAGACGAGGATGACGAATGTGATGACTACACGGCCACACTAACGGTGGCATGGCCAGAGGCGAGGTCTAGGTGCCACCGAATGAGTCGGGCGCCCAGGAGTAACATACTCCCCACTATGGCTAGTCTAAAGCTGAACAGGAGCGAAAACAAATTTCATGAATATCAATTCGATTAAATGTTATCTACTCCATGAAAGTCTTACAGTTCCAAGAAGTATAAATATTATCTCTGGAAAACAAAACATGCAGACTCTAGCTGAAAACTTTTGATTAGCCATACTCAGTGCACGGACCCCCAGGCATGTTCCGCCATTACCAAAACTAATTATTAATTACCACGCAACCCAATCACAGTATTTACTCCCTTTTCTGTAACTCCCGATCCATTAGCTACTCTTGGAATTAATTTCTTGCATGATTTCCAATATTATTAGCCGTTTCCATCTACCTAGTGATACAAGCATTTAAGAGCTGGGTTTGCCTTTCATCCGCTCCATATATACTCCTTCCGTCTCCCATAAGAGTATTTGGCTGCCCATGTTCTAGATCTCTCTAGAAAGAATGGATTCCAGTGGAGAACATAGGTAACTTTTTTTCTCTGATTTCATACATCATATGGTTTGACAAAGTAAGATAGTGCACGGGCGTACATCAGAAAGTAGTGCCTTTGTTATTGCTATAAGTTGATCCAGTTCTTCTTTCCATGCACCAGCTTCTGGCCTTATGGGCCAAGTGTTTGGCATGATAGTTACCTGCTTGAAGAGGAGACGCTCCTCTGCACTCTACCCTTCCCGAGCTACGGCTGCCAACCATTGTGCTCTATCAGCCCCGCTGTTGCGCAGAGCAGCAGTCTGCAAGGTACGTTACGCAGAGCAACTTCTGGAGTACTGTATTTGATTTTAGTGCTACTTTCTGAAGTTGCAGAGCTCGCATGCAGCTCCCTGTCTTGTTCCTTGCGACACAGACGAGCTGGATACAAGCTTTGATGATGATCTGCTGAGGTGCTGGGAGGCTATAGAGCAATCTGATGACAGCACAGAAGAGAGTGGGAAGGGGTTGCCACTACTGTGTTATGGCGAGGTGAACGGAGCAGCTTCGAACGCCATGAGAGCAGACCGCGTTAGATCAGAGAGGGTGCTGACATTCGAGCTCGTGTCACAGTACTTCTACATGCCGATCACGCAGGCGGCTCGAGAGCTGAACGTCGGGCTCACCGTCCTGAAGAAGAGGTGCAGGGAGCTTAGGATTCCCAGGTGGCCGCATCGCAAGCTGAAGAGCTTGCAGACCCTCATCAACGACGTCGAGGTCCCCTCTTTATCCATACTAGTTTTCCCATCTCTGATTCTGAATCTGCCAGCATTTTACATCCGTTGTTTCTCCATGTAAATGCTGTGCGATGTCGGTCATGGTCGCAGGTCCTGCAGGAGGCAGGCAAGGCGAACGACGACGGGCAGCTGAGGGCGATGGTGGAGATGCTGGAGCAGGAGAGGCGGCTCCTGGAGCAGAGGCCGTACGTTGAGCTCGAGGAGAAGACGAAGAGGCTTCGGCAGGCCTGCTTCAAGGCCAGCTACAAAAAGAGACGGCTCTTGGCTCTTGAACCTGGGGAGGCATCCAAGTACTATTGATGCAGAGCGTCTCGCATATAGTAGTAGTATAGCCCAGCCCAAGTGTTTCTTCCATGTTTTATTAGAGTCTGGTGCTTTTCAGTTTCTACTATGCATCCCTGTGCTCTGGGAGAAGAACACAAATTGTGATGGCAGAAGAATTATGGCAAAAATTACTAGTTCTATCAAGCATGTGAGGCACTATATATACATGGAAAATGATTCAGATCAGACGGCCGATCCAGCGCGAGCATCTGTATGGAGTAGTTTTCTTCATCTTTATCTCACCCACACCAACCGCTCAACCTTTTCCTTTCTTCCATGACGTTTTGTCTCTCTCAAACCTTCTCTCAATCTCCCACCCAAATCTCCTACTAGATGATGTTGTTTTTTGTAGCTAGTGCGTGGTTCAAGGAACTGCGACTGCATACAAGACCTCATCCATGCCGCCCCTGACCATCACCGGCCGTGCGAATAGCGACGGTGTTGTCGCGGCAGTGTTTCTGAAACATCATCTTTGTTGCAATTTTTTCTGCAATATCCTGTGTGTTGCAAAAGCTCCTTCTTCAATAACATGGCAAAAGAATTCTGCAAGAAAATCTCTGATGCGAAAAAATTCTGCAACAAGGCTTGTGTTGCAATAATGGAGGACGTTGCTAGTTGCAAAAAATAAAATCTGCAACAAGATCTCGGTTGCAAAAAAATTCCGCAACAAGGCTTGTGTTGCAATAATGGAGGGTGTAAAAAAATGTGCAACAAGGCATGCATTGCAATAATGAAGGGCGATGCTGGTTGCAAAATATTTCCGCAACAAGGCTTGTGTTGCAATAATGGAGAGTGCCGCTGGCCACTCGATGCACCAAATCCCATGGCTGGCGACCCGACCGATCTTTTAAAACGATCGGCCGGCGGACGCGTAGTTGAAATTTACATCACGCTATATATGCCATCGTCCCACAGTCTTGCACTACACAATTCTACACTTTTGAAGTTTCAAGCAGTGACCATGTCTGTCCTCGCGGCCGTGTCCCTCTGCTCTCTGCCGATGTCGACGTACCCCGACAGGATCGCCCTGAACTCATCGCCGGTGAGCGTCTCCTTCTCCATGAGCACGTCGACCAGCTGGTCGATGGCGGGCCGCGTCCTCCTCACGTGCGCCTTGGCGACCTCGTACGCCTCGTCAACGATGGCCTTCACCGTCCTGTCGATGTCGGCGGCGAGCTTCTCCGACATGGAGTTCCTGGCCAGCATACGCAGCACCACGTCCCCGCTCTGCGCCGCCTGTTCCGTCAGCGCCCACGGCCCGATCTCCGACATGCCGAACGTGGTCACCATCTGCCGCGCCACCTGCGTCACCTGCTGCAGGTCCCCCGCCGCGCCCGTCGTCACCTCCGGCTCGCCGAAGATCACCTCCTCCGCGGCACGGCCGCCGAGCCCGCCGACGATCCTCGCGAAGATCTGCCGCTTGGACACCAGCGTCGGGTCGTCGCCCGGCAGGAACCACGTCAGGCCCCGCGCCTGCCCCCGCGGGATCAGCGTCACCTTCTGCACCTCGTCGTGCCCCGGCGTCAGCGTCCTGCGGTAGAATCGATCAGTCTTCAGTGCAATCGAGAGAAATAATGGCGTCAAACGAGGAGAGGGATGATGATGCGTGTGTGCTTACGCGCAGACGGCGTGGCCGATCTCGTGGTAGGCGACGAGCATCTTGCTCTTGCCGTCGATCATGCTGGCGCCCTCCAGGCCGGCGACGATGCGGTCGATGGAGTCGTCGATCTCCTTGACGGAGACGCGGTCCTTGCCGCGGCGGCCGGCGAGGATGGCGGCCTCGTTCATGAGGTTGGCGAGGTCGGCGCCGCTGAACCCGGGCGTGCGCATGGCCACCACGCCGAGGGACACGCCGGGGTCCAGCTTCTTGTTGGCGCTGTGCACCCTGAGGATCTCCTCGCGGCCGCGCACGTCCGGCAGCCCCACGGACACCTGCCGGTCGAAGCGGCCCGGGCGGAGCAGCGCCGCGTCGAGGATCTCCGGCCGGTTCGTGGCGGCGATGACGATGACGCCGCTGTCGCCGCGGAAGCCGTCCATCTCGGTGAGCAGCTGGTTCAGCGTCTGCTCGCGCTCGTCGTTGCCCCCGCCGATGCCCGTGCCGCGCTGCCGGCCGACGGCGTCGATCTCGTCGATGAACACCAGGCACGGCGCGTTGTCCTTGGCCTTGTTGAACAGGTCCCGCACCCGCGACGCGCCCACGCCCACGAACATCTCGATGAACTCCGACCCGGACAGCGAGAAGAACGGCACGCCGGCCTCGCCCGCGATCGCCTTGGCCAGTAGCGTCTTCCCCGTTCCCGGCGGGCCGACCAGCAGCACCCCCTTGGGGATCCTCGCCCCCACCGCCGTGAACTTGTCCGGGAACTTGAGGAACTGCACGATCTCCTGGAAGTCCTGCTTCGCCTCGTCCACGCCGGCGATGTCGTCGAACGTGACGCCCGTGTTGGGCTCCATCTGGAACTTGGCCTTGGACCGGCCGAGCCCGAAGGGCAGGCCCGGCCCGCCGCCGGGCGCGTTCATGCCGCCCGACGACCGCAGGAAGAGCGAGGCGAGGAAGAGGAGCGGGAAGCCGAGGTTAAGCAGGAGGCCGAGGACGTCCAGCCCGACGTTGGGCTCCGCCGGCTGGGCCGCGAGGTCGACGCCCTTCTCACGCATCTTCCGGACCAGCTCGGCGGGGAGCCCCGGGAGCTGCACCTTGACGCGGTGCGCCCTCGCCAGCGCCGGCTCGTCCACCTCGGCCACGGCCACCGTGCCGTTCTGGAACAGGTCCACCTTCTTGACCGCGCCGGCGTTGAGGTACTCCAGGAACCTGGAGTAGGACATCCGGCTCGACGTCAGCTCCTCCGGCGCCAGCACCGGCGGTTGATCAGCCCGTGCCGGCCTTGCCACGGCGAGCCCGAGCCCCAGCCCCAGGCCGGCGGACTGGAGCAGCCCCCGCCTGCCGAGGAGCCCGGCAGCGTCCGGCGACGGGGGCGTGATCTTGGCGGGAGAGGCCCGTCTCTGCGGCGCTTGCTTGGCGACGTCCTGCGCCTTGCAGACGGGCAGGTGGCTCGTCGTCGTCGTCGTCAGCGACATTGCCGTGGGCGACATGCCAAGCTTACTGCCACTGATCGATCAGGCTACTACTCTACTTGGCTAGTGGCAACTGAGCAGAGCAAAATGTGAGTGTGGTGCTGTTGCTCACGGGTTTTGGAGGGAACGTAGTATGGCGATTCCTCCTGTGTTTAAATAGATTGAGGTCACAACACTGACGCGGTGGTGCTCGTGTGGATGAGAGATCGCTGCAGTTTGGGGTTTCTCCGGTGGTTTCGTGAGCGTCTTGGTGAGGTTGTCGTGTTCGGCTTCTCGTAGGATCCAGAGACGGCGGTCGGATGGAGAATTCTGGCGCGCAATCCAGGCGGAGGCGGGGCAGCCAGTTGGGTGGCCCGCGTCCGGTCGCCAGACGCCGCCCGGTGCCGGTGGCGCTATCCACGTCGCGATGCAGTCGCACGCACACTTGTTGGGCTCGGCGCGCTCATGGGCTGTACACATGCCCGATGGCTGCTGACACAACATGTTCAAGTGGCCTTATCCTAGAAAAAAAAAGATGTTCAAGTGGCCTTTTCTATTCAAAGGATTTTCACAAAAGAATTGGAGAATTTGAATTCTTATCTAGAAAGAAAGAAAAATAATCTATGTTGAACGTTTGATTAGTAGGCGTCTATCCTATATCAATTTGGAAATGTTTCTAAATAACCATTTATACTACATTTCATGGCAAATCTAACAACCACACTAAATTTTTGAAAATAATTCTTTGTTTTTATGTACTTATCAAGTAAACTCAAATCCTATAGGATTTGCATGCACATGACATTCCATTCATGTGTTTTTCATTCCTGTTTTTTTACTACCAATCAAAGGGGCCTAAAGGCCAAAAACTACGCATAAATTACTCTCCTTATATATTATGAACCCTGAGAATAAGTTTAACCAATACATAGTAGTGGAAGATCACAATCACACACATAAGTGACAAAGATTTATCAACTAGAAAAAAAATAACTTCTCAAGATTAAGAGTAAGAAATCATGGTCGTAGACTGATTGGTCGACCCGACTTCGACTGAAAATCAAAAGGCTCTTTGAAATATCAAGAGATTTACAACACTCTCGTCATGGTGCCAGCCGACAACGATGCAAACAACTACAAAAGACAATTAACCAAACAGTTGTCTAGCAAATTTTGCCTCTTCTATAATCAGCTCGTCTCCGTTGAATCACTAAAGCAAACAACACAGATCTTCTATATCCAAATAGCTGTTCTCACTAACATATTGTAAGTAGGCCGCCTCAACATGCAACCATCTACATAGAAAATTGTTCATCTCAACATGCAAACATGCATGAAAAATTTCTATTCTATTATGCTATTTACATTTGATAAATATTTTTAGTTCTCGTTTCATCAACCAAATCTCGATTAAAGCATGTTGCAAAACATTCCTGCAACTACATGTGGGATATCATCTAGTTTTAGTGGACAGAGAAAATTGAGCTATCAACAAACCAAAACATATTCTAACTTAATCTATCGTTGTTTGCCTATGCACCACGTTCTTTAACTGAAATACACTAGCCTTCAATCGCCAACTTGAGGGCAATCTGTTTGCAGCCATCAAATATTAACAAAAAAACATATCTTCTTTTCTCCTTTCTTATGGGTGGTGGTTTTCCTTTTGTGTTCTCTCATCCTCTCACGGTGGCATCCGCGTCCTTCTCTCACATAGCATTGCATGGAGGCTATGGATTTCTTCTTCCGCTTCTATAAAGATGTCATCTCAGCCATTAGATTTTTGTAAGGCATCTCAGTCATTACATGCAACTGAAATAAATGGTTCACATGTATTGGACTTGTGGGCTGAAGTTGTGCTCCCAACACACCCCCATCTGGAGGATGTTAGCCCAACAATGTGTATGATTTTTTTCCTGGTACGGGGTTTTGATCTGTGAGGATGGAAACTTTATGTACTAGACGATACCCCGTACGTTGTTGCGGGTATGTTTTGCAAAAATATTTCAATGAGAATTTGTTGTATGGAACATTAATATTTGAAAGAATACTATTACAACTAAAGTTGAAAATACGTATGGTTTTATTGTGTTTGGTTATTATATAATATAAATATCATAATACAATGGAGATTCTCATACATGTTTGCATGTTGTGGTGGCTTCTTATGCATGGCTGCATGTTGAGGTGAGTCTTTTCTATACATGTTAAATGCTGAGTATGTATGGTTGCATGTTGATAAAAATATGTTAGTGAGGGCTAGCTATTTCGATATATAAGGTCTGTGGGCAACGTTAGGCATCCATGAGGCGTAGAAGAGGAAACCATCAATCACCTTAACCGTGTGTGTTCCATTCAATTGAACCTCAGACATTCTATGTGTGTCTTACACTTGGCACTGCTATGTTTATCTAGTGTGTATCACTTTCCTTGTTGTTGCATTTGGCTGGCTTCGGGACAACTCTTATCTTATGTAAGCCTCCATCGAAGCTCTCATGTCACGCAAATGGCATACATGTTGGGTCCTGTTGTGAAAAATAAAGTGTTGTCCTTGGTGGCGGAGAAGTGTAGCTCGTAGTGGATAGTTTCCCAAAACCCCACACTCTGAAAATGAATGAGAAAACTAGGAGCGGTTTCCAATCGTGACTAGTTTTCGAAACAATTTTGTAGTCATGCTCCTTCAGTCTAGTTAGAAAGTTATTGGCACTTGTATCATGGTTTCATTTGCAATGATGATTGAAAAAATTACTGACACTTCGTCCACCACAGAGATTGGTACAAAATAGTTTTGCGGTAACCTTAGAGATAACACTATAAATATTTCACTACATACAAATAACTTCACAATTTCAACGCACGAACATCATTCACATAAATGAATGGGAAATACCGAAAACACAAAGCTTAAGTTGACGTCCACTTTCACCGAGGCATTTTGGTATAAGAATCAGATCGCCAAAACTGAAACATTCATCCCATGCAACGTATATCCTACAACGAACAACCTAAAACTTTAGCTAACTCCAGCTGTCCCATCTACCTCTGGATCACGACATGTCCACGTAAACAAGCTGCTCTGATGCTCAAAAAAAGTTAGCAGGCCGGAATTGTGAACCAAATCAGGCAGAAAGGCTCAAGAAGCAAGATCGAGACCAAGTTGTCGTGTACCCGAGCCAGCCAGAAGCGGGATCTCCTATAGGACACATTATGTCAAGATGCTACTCGACCGCATAGGATGCGCGCGATCGAGCCGACCCATTAAGCAACCATAGGAATCACATTGTAAGGACTCGGAGAACTCTAGCGATGTTTTTCTCTTCCCAATTTTGGTTTTCAAGCGGTTTTCATTTTAAGCCGGGTACTGTAGCGACTCAACCTGATGCAATATTGAAGGATTTTTTTGGTTTTTAGGCGATTTTTTATTGTTTTAGAAAAAACAATTTTAAAACAATATACATTTTTTTAAAATGAGAAGATTTCTTTTAAAATTCAGTCGATTATTCGAAAACACAAGCAATTTTTTTAAAAGAACATTTTTAAAATGCAAATATTTTTTGGAAGCATGGATTTTTATGAAAATCTAAACAATTTTTGAAAGTTCGAAAGTTCTAAAAAAATAATTTTTAAAATTGTAACATTTTTTTGGAGAACTCAAACAATTTTTGAATTCCAGAGCAGTTTTTAAAATTTTGAAAAAAAATGAAAACCAAACAAATCAGTAAAGAAATATAGAAATAGAAGAAAAACCCGGATAATAACATCCTGAAGGGTTCCCAAAACAGATAAAAGATAGAACAACAGCATTTCTAAAACCAGATTTCCTGTAAGAAATGAGCCACCCCGAATCGCTCACCCCTCTACAAAAACTCTGCGACAAATAGGAATTACCGACAGGAAGCACCTGGAACATGCAGCGCAAATCAAGCCAGTATGCCATAAGGCTTCATTCGGTCCGTTGTTAGTGAAAAACTGAATGGAGCGCTACAATAGGCCAGCAAATTCCTATTTGCCGCACAATGTGGCAAAATGTTGGTGAAACGCGCAGGAGCCTCGAGCTAGGGAAAAAATTTATATAAGACCAGGTCTTACGGTTAGCAGATGAGATCCGCCTTGATGGATGACACGGTTAATAGATGCTTTGTAATTTGTGAATGTCATGTGTCATCTATCAGGATGGATCTCGCGTGAGACTTGGTCTCATAGAATTCTTTTCCCTCGAGCTAGGACCGAAACGAGTTGATCGATCTTAGTTGCCAGGTATTGGGAAGGTTCCAGTCTGGTTTTTACAAGTCTGTCTTGTTTACCTTTGTTATGTTGTTTCTTTTACTAGTTCTCTTTTTTTTCTTTTTGACAAAGTACCCTTTTTGAAAAAAGTTTGAAAATTCCAAAGTTGTTTCAAATTTAAAAAATGTTCGGGTTTCAAATATTCTCTAGGAATTTCAATCATGTTCCTAAATTTGCTCAACAATTTTAAAAATGTTTGTTTTTTTAGAAGTTGTTCACAAATTCAAAAAATGTTCAAGAATTTCTAAAAATGCTCACAGTTTCAAAAAATTCTTTCGAATTTCACAAATTGTTACTATTTTTAGAAAACTATTCACAAATTTAAAAAGTTCATATTTCCAAATGTTGTTCACAAATTTAAAAAATATTTGGGAATTTTTACAAATGTTTGCAATTTCAATTGTTGATCCTCTTTTTGAAAAAACTTCCAGAAATTTCAAAATCCTTTCACGTTCAAAAAATGTTCACTCTTTCAAGAAGAATATTCATTTTTTTTAAAGATATAAGAACAACTAAAAACCGGTTGCTATAGTGTAGCAATCGCTACAGTAAATCAAATTATGCCATATATTTTTTTAGAACAAAGGCTCAAGAGTAACGCGAATCATACAGTAGAATGCAAATTGCTACATTGTCCTCTGCTACAGGGGGCGGGTCCAATCTGGAGGGTCCTTGTACGTCGCGGTGCAATTGGACGCATTGAGCGTTCAATATAAGCTTCCGTCAGGCCATGCCATTGTTCTCAAAACAAGCAA